CGACCCTTGCAAGCTTTCGCGCCATCGACGCCATAAGCCCACGTGCATTGTGCAATGTCTGCGTCACCGATGCCACGACCTCCCCGTAAATTTTGGGCACGCGCGTCCGCGTGGCCACGCCCACCCGTGAATGATATAATTCTCGCGTCCCCGAAGCAACGAATCCTCGTATTTATGCCATGCGTGAATCCTCGAAGCCACGACCCCTCCTGAATTAAGAAATATTAGCGCCCTCAAAACCACTACCCCGAGCGAAGTAGACTATATTCGTCCTCGGGGCCATGCGCTTTCGAAACTTATGCGCCGTTGGCGTCGCCGAGGCCACGCCCCGGCAAATTGCGCAGAATTCGTGTCCCTGTAGGCCGCGCCCTTGATCGAAATCATCATCATCATCAGCGCCAACGCCCGCAGCAGCATCGTGCAATATTTCTTTACATCGCCATCGCCATCGGCGTCAACAGCGTCGTCGTCGTCCGCGTCACCATCGGCAGCAGCATCAAAGATACTTCAAAACGGCGCCAGTACATCCTGATGTGGTGATTATGTATCCCGCTGCGAAAGAAAAGGAGACCATCGGCAGCGGGCGACGCCCTTGCGGATGCACCAATATCTCGAGAAACCGCAAAACACGAGCGAATCGAATTCCCAACGCCATGAAAGAACACCATAACCCATTAAACAACGACAAACTACAAACATGCCCAGCAAACAAAAACACATACCCACCAACGTTATAAACCACACCGTCATACTATACAAGCGTGTAAACAGATAGACAATACAAACTCTGAAACACCAAGGTTGGCCCAACCGTGCGCACTGCGTGGGTTTGTCTGGGATTGCCGTTTGTATGGGAGTTAATGTTTGTTGCATGGGTACCGTTTTTTGGTGTTGAAACCATGTTTTTGCACTGAAGTTGGGTTGCTGTTGCATTACAAACGAAGACTGTATTGAATTTCCTTCGGTAATATATCAAATTTGCACTTTGTGATAAAACCGCTGCTGTTCGAATCATGATCTTGTTGATGCGCATTAGCATCGTGCTCTGCGCAGTGCGTTTTGCAACCAGACCCGCCTGGGCGAGACGCCGACCGCGCATGGGGAACTCCCGCTTGTTTTAAACAACTACAATGCAGGAACTTGATTGAAGACTGCCGCTGCCGTCCACATACAAGCCACAACGTTAATCACCAACCGTTGAACATGTCCAGACATCGACAGAAACCGACGAGCATGGCGACACTGACACAGCGCGTCGCGGTACACGTGTCTCTGCACATACGCATGTGTATACATGGACAACCAGAAACACGATCAGCCAGCAACGACCCGCAGCATCCAACATACATCATCAAATACCAAGCACTTGTACATCTGTGCATGTATACGAAACCACACCACATCAACAACGCACAAATCAACTCAATACCTCCTCAACGCGAGGCGCGCAACCCGAACCCGCATCCCAAAGCGCGCGCCCCGACGCACCTTTCGCACAGACGCCAGCTATCCAGCGTCCACCGCGCACTCGGGCCGCCGCTGCCGCCGAGCTGCAATGAAATGACCGCGCGGGCGCTGCGCAATTGCGGAACAAAAAAACGCGTTCGCAGCGGGCGCCCGCCGCCCCCTGGCCTCTGCGGCCCGCGCGCCGCCGTCGCCCGGCCCCGCGGCCCTGGCCTGGCAGACCTTGGCTCCGCGAGCCACGTGGCTGGGGGAAAAAAGGCGGTCGCGACGACGGCGGCAGCGATGGCGACTGCGGCGGCGGTGGCGACGACGGCGAAGGAGAGCCCGGGGGCGGCGTCGACGCGGGCGGCCATTGCCCGGGCGAAACTAACTCTGAGAATGAGAGGGGGCGCAGATCGCGGATGGGGCAGAAAAGCTAAGGCGCGCGGGGCGGTTGGATTCAAAACAAACACCCAGCGCCGCTGTTCGAGATCTAGACATCGACGTGATCATAATCTGTTGCTGCGTATTCGCCCAGCGCAATGCTTCCGCGCCGCGCTTCCGCAGCCCCCCCGCCGCCGCCGCCGCCGGCGCCGTCGCCGCCGCCGCCGCCGCCTCCGCGTCGGCGCAATCGCCGTCGCCGCGCCCATCGTCGCAATCACCCCCTCGCGCGCTTCGCGCCCCATAGAAAACGTGGAAAATAACGGCGGGGGCCCGATGGGCGCGGGGCGGCGGCCAGCCTCGAGGGCGGCGGGGCGGCGGGCGGCCGCGGGGGGGGTCGGCCTTCCCGGGCCGCCCGGGCCCCCCCGGGCCCCTCGCCGCTCGACTTCCGGCGCGCCCCGCGCGCAGATCGCGGGCCTCTGCCGCGGGCCCGGGGGGGGGGTCGGCGGAATGGCGGCCAGCCTCCAGGGCGGCGGGGCGGCAGGCAACTGCAGGGGGCAGAGGGCGCGCGGCGGGCGCCGCGTTGCCAACTGCCAAACTGCAGCGATGCAACGACGTAAAACCGTCACGCGCTAAAGCGCCCGCCCCCCAACTTGCCAACGCGCGCCCCCGCGCGCGGGAGGCGCGCGCGCGCGCTCCGAAAGAGGGGCCCCCGGGGCGAAGCCGCTAAGCACGAGTCAGATTAGCATTTCGACCCTCCTGCCCCCGAAGCTCCACGGCCAGTTGGGCCCCGCAAGTGACATCGCTGCCGCTTCTTCTCAGTCGCTGCCGGGGCTGCCCCAGAACTCGAACTCGAGCTCGACGCTGACCCAGCTTTTATTTTGCGTCTCGGCGCGGGCTTCGGCTCAGGCTCAGGTTTTGCCGTGGCCGCATCCTTGACCATTGCAATGGTCGAGCGTCGCGCTTCTCCCGCCGCCGCTCCATCTTCGCGGCGCTCTCCTTCGCCGGCGTCTGCAAGTGTCGCCAAAAGGCTCCGCTCTGGCGCGCGCGCGAGGCTGGCCATGGGCACCTGCCTCTGCGGCTGTGGCCTCTGCTTTGCTGCCTCCGCGAAAGAGCCCTCGGTGGCCGCGAGGTTGCGCCGTGCAAACTTGAGGCGGCGATCGTTGCTGCCCGCATGCTTGTCGCTGCTCTCCCCGCGGAAGCTGTGCTTGTCGTCGCTGGCGCTAATCTGGTTCTGACTGGTGACCGCCCCTCTCCGAGCTAATCCTGGACTTGCTGGCGCAGGGGCCTCCTCGAGGTCGCGCTTGAATCAGGTCAACGGGCAACGGTTGGCCGCCCGAGGGCCGGGGCTGGAGTCGGAGTCTGGGTCGGTCGATCCGAAGGGGGCCAGGGCATCTCTGGATCCTCTACAGAGGCCCGGGCCCAGAACCACTCTGTCTTCAGGGGCTGCAGAGAAGGCGTCTATGGAGGTCTACGGCTGCTCGGGGGCACGGGGCCCCTGCCTTCTCCGATCTGTCTCAAACTGCGGCCCTGCAACCGCTCGCGCCGATGCTCGGGCCGGGCCGCGGGCAAACGCTGACCGGGCATCCCTACTTCAGCACTAACCGCGGGCTCAGCTGCTAGAGCTGGCATGGCGCTTCGGGGCCAAAAACCTCTTCGGGGCACCCAGTGTCCGCTGCTTGCATCGCCGCCAGCTTCTCGCACTCCAGGGCCCAGACCGCCTTGGGGCCCGTCGCCGCCGCTGTCTGCGTCGCCGCCAGGTCCCCGCACTCCCACGGGATTCGCAATCCCGTGATCTGCGCCGACACGACCTCGAGCAAATCCTCCAGCTTGGGCTTGATCTTGGCGAGGTGGTTTTCCTGCCTCCATACTGGTGCCAACATGTCCGTCCTGCATTTCTTGACCTTATTAGCCTCGGCCGTGAGGATGCGCAGCGGTGCCGCGTTGTCCAACGTAGCGCCCCAGTTCTGGAACATCTGGCGCTGGTTGTAAAATTCCGACCTGTGGCGATGAGCGACGCGGGGGCACATCTTCACCATGATTTCGACGCCGTCAAAGAAGACTACCGCGCCCTCTGCTGCAATTTGGGCCTCTGGAACTCGCCGTGCGTTTTCGATCTCAGTTCGTCTGTCTCCTCCTCCTGCAGCTGGACTGCTGGCTGCTCGGCCTGCAGGGCTGCTGGCCCAATTTGCTGCTGGATGCTGGACTGAGTGGTGCCTGAGTGCCTGCTGCTGATGAGTGGCTGCTCGACTGCTGGCCCAGCTGTCTGCTAGGCCGCTGGCTGCTGGGATGCCGGATACGGACAATCAAGCCGCAACCTGTGCCGCCGCCCTCCTCTTTTGCCCATTTCGGGTGACCCCCCTCGGATGGGATGTTGTTCGTACGCGGGTGCATGTCGGGTTCGGTTCGGGCCAACATGTAATACCGATGCGTAGCACGTTGCAATTGTTTCCCACCGTAAACAGCCCACACGTGCGCACTTGACAATATGTATTGGCTATGCGAGATAGCGGCGATGATAAGCCGTACTGCCAGTACTGTCGTATTTTGTTTCGTGCTGCTCTGTTTTGCTCCCCTCGGCGATTTGATTGCCCCTGTGTTGCTTCGTGCTGCTCTGTCTTGCTCATCTCAACTCTCACTTGCCCGTTTTTTGTTTCGTGCTGTTCTATTTTGCTCCCCTCAGTCCTCGTTTGCCCCTAGTTTGCTTCGTGCTGCTCTGTTTTGCTCCCCTATCGTCCCTCTTTTGATAATTCTCTGCTTCGTGCTGAACCGTTTTGCCCCCCTCAGCTCTCGCTGTTTTTCGTGCTGCTCTGTTCTGCTCCCCCCCCAGCCTTCGTTTTGCTTCGTGCTGCTCTGTGTTGCTTCGTGCTGCTGTGTTTTGATAGGTTTGCTGTGTTTTCTGTTTTAGCTGTGCCTCACTGACCTGCGTGAGTTTTGCCACCCTTACGGCTCACGGACAGGAGTGCCACGTAGCTTGGAACACACGCGGCTGGATTCAGACGCTGCACGCGAAGAGGCCACACGCTGGATACACATGCGGCGTACCAGCGCATCGTCCACGCGAGGCCCGAACGCTGGAAAGCCTGCGTGCATCCAGCTCTCGCCCAGGCCGGCCACATCATGTGCATCCAGCTCGCTGGTCGACACGTGCGCGTGCGCCTCTGCTCCCCCGTGGCCTCTGGCGACCTTGAGCAGCACCCTGGCGCCGTCGGCCTGCACCCACCACTCGCAGCCCCCTCCGCCCTCCGGGCGGCACCAGACGCAGTACTGGCAGACCGGGCCGTGGACCTCGCGCACGGGGGCCAGGCTCGCGTCGCCCGGGGACGCCCTCCGCCTCGCCGCCTCCAGCTCCTCGCGCAGGGCCTGCTCGCGCAGCAGCCTCGCGCCGCGCGCCTGCGCGAAGCGCGCCGCCTCGCGGGCGTGCTCCGCCCTGGCCTCCTCCAGCTCCTCCGCCACCTTGACCGGGCGGGACGGCGCCCCCCCCTCGCGCGCCCGAACGCCCTTGGCCGCGCCTCGGGCCACCGCCGGCGGATTCCGGGCCCGCAGAACCCGCGGGACGCGCCCGATGGAGCAGATCCCGGCCCCCGTCGCCCCGCACCCCCTCCTCGGCCCGCCCTCCTCGGCTCCCCCCCTCCTCGGCCCCTCCTCCTGCCTCCGCTCCTCCTCGCCGCCTGCCCCCCCCCCCCCCCTCCTCCCCCTGGGCCCCCGGCCTGGCGCGGGGAGCCGCCTCACGCGGGGAGGGCACCTCGAGAAGAGGAGGCGTGCAGCTCCGAGGCTGGAGCTCACAGGCATCACACCGCCCGGGGAGCCGGTGTCCTGGGACCCCATAAGGGGGCCCAAGATAGCCACCCCTATGCAGTGACTGCCTCCTTGGCTCCTGGGACATCGGTCCCCCGGGCGGTGGATACGTGCAAGTGCTGGCCTCGGATGCGCTCACGGTTTTGCCCGGAGCCACCCGATTCGCTCGGTGGGCTTCGCGATCGGCGTCTGCGCCCAGAGACTGGCACCGTGCCGTCGCCACCTCCAGGTCCGCCTCGACCTGCGACAGGCGCTCCGCGAGGCACCGCTCGTGCCTCGCACTCTCGCTGCACTCGCTGGTCACCTCTGCTTGGCCAGCATGTGAGTGCGAGCTAAGATCACGCGTGCGCTTCGAGCGCGCTTGGGCTTTGGCGGAGGACTGTGCATCGCGACAGGTTGGGGGCCTGGATGCGCTTCGGCAAACACGATCGGTATAGTATAATCCACGCTTGCGACTACTCTGCATGAGAGCGGTGGGGGGCATGAACATGATGTGATAAGGTGGAAGAAGAGGCGCACGACACTGGTGAGGCGTACAGTGGAGGCCAGTAGTCCACAAGAAACCTTGCACAAGAAACCCAATCCTGAAACCCCGAGCGTCCATCGATTTTTGGTGCGGGAACGACACGCCCTCCACAGCCAAACCCTTGAAACCCAAGAAACCCAGGGCACCCTGGAGGCAAGCAGGGTGTTTCTTGGCATGGGTCTCCACTGTATTGCACGCACGGTGGGGCGCAGGAGAAGCCGCAGTGACATTATTTGGGGCGGACCCGACCTTCTCCCACAGCCGGAGGGTCTTCTCCTGAGCCAGCCTGGCCTGCGCGAGCTCCGCAAGCACGCGGTGCAGCTCCGTCGACGTCCGGGCCTCCCTCTCCTCGGGAGTGGGTGGGGGATGAGGCAGCGCGGGCACGGCTGTGCACCGTCGGATGCAGGGAAGGCCCGGGTCAGCTGACCTCGTCTTTCGCGCGCTGGAGCGCGGAGCCTGGCCACCTCCGCCCTCTCTCGAAGCACCCCGCGGAGAGGCGCGACTCTCTTCACGCCCCTGCGGGTGACCTTGGCGTTCTCGGTGGAGGTGGCCCGTCGGGGGCCGAAGCGCCTCTTCCTAAAACTCGTTCGTGCTGGTTGCGGCCTCGCTTCGGATCCTTCAGCGCCGCGCGTCTCGCGTCTTCCTGCCTCGCCCCCTCCTCCTCCTCCTCCTCCTCCTCCTCCTCCTCCTCCTCCTCCTCATCATCCTCCTCGACCTCCTCCTCGACCTCCTCCTCCTTCCTCCTCCTCCTCCTCCTCCTCCCCTGCCTGCCTATGCTCTCCGCACGTCCATCCTCGGCACGCCCCATCACACGCTTCCTGCTCCCACAGGGAGGTCCAGCTACGGTTAGGCCGGGCATGTCCTCCTACGGGCGGATTTTGGGCGACAGATGAAAGATGGCCAATACATGCTCAAGCACAGCCACATACAATTGAGACATCGTCCGCATACGATTTGTTGGACCATTTTTGACGATTCCTCCCGTAGAGGGACAGGCCCGACTTAAAGCTACGGCCCCTGGCGAGAGCGTCCGCGCGGCGGCACCGCGCCCGATTCGGCACACCTCTCGCACGCTTCAAGGTGCCACAGGGAGCTCCGCTCTCGGCCCTGGCGGGAGCGCTCGCACGGAGAGAGGAGGAAGGCACTCGCACGCTGAAGCTCCTCTTCGATGGGCGTGTTTTCCACCACCACCACCACCATAAGTTGGAGGGGGGGTCCTCCTCCTCCTCCTCCTCCTCCTCCTCCTCCTCCTCCTCCTCCTCCTGCTCCTCTTCGTCCTCCTCCTCCTCCTCCTCCTCCTCGCCCGCCTCCTCCTTCCCCCCTCCAACTTATGGTGGTGGTGGTGGAAAACAGGCTTATCACTCTTGATCCCTTTCGGCGGTGGACAAACCTCCCTTTAGTAACCCACCCTTTAATGAAAACGACCTGCGACCGAAACCGACGGACCTGGACCCGCAAAAATGACGGCCGCGACGCCCTCTCGCGAATCGAGAACGGCCGATTCGCTCATCGACGTGTCAGGGTAGGATGTCTATCAAGCTCCGACCTTCGATCCCTCTCTCTCGCGGTATCGCCCTGGGGCTCCCAAGCCAATCGGGGCGGTCCGGTCCAAATCGGCAAACGCTAGCAGCCTCTATGGGTCATAAGCCTCCGAAGGTGAAGGATCATATGATCAGGATATCATGATATCAGTAGTGCTAATGATATCAGGATCATACTCCGCCCAGGGGCGAGCAGCAGAGCTCCGTGCAGCACCACTCGAGATGACGCCCTTCCTCGGGCAGGGCTGCGCTCTCACACTCGTCCTACTGCGCCGTTCCCTGGCCACGGTCCGTTGCATCGGCTGCCCCAGCGGCCGCTTCAAGAGCACCATGCCGAACTCCATACATCTTATAGCAGGCAGTTTACGAGGAGAGGGCCGTGCCCTGTGCTACACGCAGCTGCATAGGGTTCGCCAGGCTATTTTTTGGGGGGCAGTTTTGGACGCTGGGGAGGCTGCCATCAAGTGCGCCTCTTCAGTGGCCTTCCGCGGCGGCGAACGCTGCCTTCAAGGGCCAGAGTGATGAACGAACATGCATATGCCCAACTATAAAATATTTACGTCTGGGACTCTACATACTTGTTTCCAAGTGGACTCCCTTTGCCCATACGGGGTGGAGGCATCACAAATGAGATGCAAGACACGGCCTGGCCACGACCCCCCCAAAGCTCAAGCGCAGGCTTGCCATAGCTGGGCCACGAGTTGGCCGCAAGAACTCTTGCCACGAGAAAAAGACTACCCCCGCCCCTGCCCCAAGAGGCCCCCGAGAGCCCCCCAAGAGGCCCTGGGGGCCCCCAAGACGCCGCCAAGGAGCCCCAAGAGACAAACCAAGAGGTCCCCAAGAGGCCCCCAAGAGGCCCTAAAGAGGGCTCCAGGGCCGGCGGAATAAGCGAAGCGATTAAATCACTCTTGCCACGAGAAGAACCTAGCAAGCACGCACGTACTTGCACTTCTACGTGCGTCGTCCAGTCTTGTTCTGAGGAGCCGAGACGAGCACCCCTAGAGCCGAATACCACGTGGTCAGCTGCAGCGGGCACGGTCCGGCGCGTCAGGCGCCAGAGCGAACTGCGCCTCTATGCAAGACGAGACACAGCAGAGGAGGGCCGCGCGCCGCGGAAGGGAGAGAAGGGAGGAGAGTGCCGAGGCCATGCTGCAGACAAGGATGGCACCGACGTGCAGCCGCGCCGTTCTGCCCCCCGCTATCCTCCAGCTGCTGGTGGGCCTGATGCGCCAGCCGCAGCGCAGAGACGGTTTCCTTCTGCCACGACCCCCCTGCCCCCTCGAGAGGATCCAGGAGTGGTGGCGTGCCAGATGGAGTCGGTGGAGTGCCTCGGGAGGGCGCCAACCGTACCGATCCTCGCCAGTGCCCACCATGGGCCCAGGATTCGTGTGCGCGTCGTCGAGCCAGGAGGGCATGGATACAGATCCTGGACCCGAGACGGGCCTGGCCAGGATCGGCGTTGGTGTATAACTGGTGCCCCCAGTAAAACAGGGCTAGGATCGGGATAAATCGCTCCAGAGCGTTCCGGAGCGCTCTCAGAGCGTTCCGGAACGCTCTGGAGCGGCCGCGGCGCCCGATACGTCCTCCAGACCCGCCGATTCTCAGAGATTTCGAGTTGTCCCGATCCGATTTTGCCCCGACCTCCGCGTCGCTTTGCGGACGGCAGGCGGAGTGCCCCCCTCCCCGCCCCCCCCCCTTGCCCCCCCCCCTTCCCGGCTCCGAGACGTCGCTCCAACTCAGGAGGGGGGAAAAACACACAGACACAATTAATCGTCCACCCCCAGGAAAATATGGGAAGTGGGGGGGAAGACAAGAATTCGATTTTGTCCCGATCTTCGCGTCGTTTTATGGTGCCCCCAGGTGCCCCCGCGTCCCTCGAGGACCTCCTCCTCCACGGAGCCGCCGGGGCCGGCAGAGGCTCCGGCCGGCCGTCGGCCCGCGGCGCCCGGAGGAGGAGAGCGCCGCGGGCTCTTCTGCACCTCGCGCGGGGGGACGGAATGCGAGGGGGGAGGAGGAGGAGGAGGAGGAGGGGGGAGGAGGAGGAGGAGGAGGAGGAGGAGGAGGAGGAGGAGGAGGAGGAGGAGGAGGAGAGGAGGAGGAGGAGGAGGAGGAGAGGAGGAGGAGGAGGGAGGAGGAGGAGGGGAGGAGGAGGAGGAGGAGGAGGAGGAGGAGGAGGAGGAGGAGGAGGAGGAGGAGGACGAACGAACGAACGAACGAACGAACGAACGAGCGACCACCGATGCGGACAGCAGTCCGGGCCTACTGGAGACCAGGTGAATGAGGCCGTGGCCTCGGAGATACTATTGTGTATGGTAATGCATGCATGCGAGACACAACAAGTTATGTGAAACGGAGGGGGAGGGGAGGAGGGGGAGGAATCCTTGTAGTCGATGTCGTGGTGTGTTGGTGCCGCGTCGCTGGGTGGAGTCTGTGTTGGTCGTCTGTGCTGGGGTTGATGTGAATGCTGGCGCAAGGAGTCGGTGGTCGGTATGGTCGTGCTTGGTTGTTGGTGTTCGGTGCTTGTGGTCGCGTGGTTGGCGGTCACTGCTGCATGTGACAGTTCGTAATATCATGCAGCGATGAAGGCTCCCTCGAGTGACTTCCACCATGTCGTCCGTGTCGCAGCTGTGAGCCACCTCACATCGTTGGTGTCGCGGTGGAAGTATCGTCGCGGTTGGGTGGCGTCGTTGGCGTCGCGTTGTGTGTGATCTTCGCCTGCCTGTCGATGCACGTTGTGTAGGAACTTCCGAATGTCGTTGTCCCAGCGCTTTTGCTGGCCACCATGTTGTCGATAACCATGTTGCCTTGTGTCCGTGTTGGGATTCCAATTCAAAGCTCGTTGTGTCCACCTATTCGACGGGTGGGTCGCTACGCGTGCTGCCCACTGCCAAACCATTTTGCGGTGCATTTGGGTGACGTCTGGGATGTCGTGCATGCTCATCAGTTCCTCCGCCCTGCGAGTGCACAGGCGGATGTATTCGGACCAGAGTTCGGCATCGTCTGCCGCCTGCTGGTGTGTCGGAGTCGGGTGGGGTGGGTCGATGCTGTCGTCGCTTGTTTGGGGCGGGTCTGATGGAGTCGGTGGGTCGCTGGAAGCGTCGTGGTCGCTGGGGTCGTCGGAGGCGTTGCCGTCGAGGTCATCGTTGTCAGATTTGTCTATCGCTTGGGCAGCATGCGTTGGTGAAACTGCTGACGTGTGTCGTCGCGGTGTCCCGATAATTGCCCGGATCATCCGTCGTTGCGTGCGGCGCAGCTGCTGTTTGAGGGGATGTGTAATTGTCCATGACTCTGCGCCGTACATCATTGTGTGTATGACGGTGCCGCGGTACAGTCGTAGTCTGTGCTTGAGTGGGTAGTGCTTGCTCGTTAGCTCTTGCCTGTGCCCTGTGAAGCACGCCCATGCAGCTTGTATGCGATGCTGGATCTCGGTCGCCGATGCGTCTTGAAATTATAAGGGCTGGCCAAGATATTTCAACTTTCCGGTAGGCGGTAACACTTCGATGTCCATGTTTGCATCTCGTGCCGATCGCGTTCGTGTCCAGGTCCGGTTTGTCATGATTTTTGTTTTGGTCGGGTGTATTTCAAGGCCGTGAGGAGTTGCTGCCTTGATTAAGTCTCCAAACAGTGTCTTCAAATGGGGTAGTGTCAGACTGACCAGGAGGATGTCGTCGGCAAAGCGGAGGTTGGTAAGAACAGAGTCGCTGGTGTGTGCTAATTGTACTCCTCGTCGTCGTCGCTGCCAATCTGGAATGAGAGGTTTCAGGGTGTGCTGCAGTAGAGCGTTCAAGAGCAGTGGGCTCAAAGGGTCTCCTTGATTTGTGCCTCGTCTGAGTTGGAAAGGTTTGCTGGTGGAGTCGGTGCGGACAAAAGCCTTCTGGTCGTGGTAGAGACGCTGGAGCAGGTGGACGTACTCGGGTTGCACGCCTTGTCGTCGTAGTGCTATCCACAGGCTGCTGTGTTCTACCGTGTCGAACGCTTTCCTAAAGTCTACGGCAGCAATCCACAAGGTCTGATTCCATTCGGAAGCTCGTTCGCGCAGGATGTTTCAAGTGAAGAGGTGGTCTCGCGTGCCGCGTCCAGGTCTAAACCCCGCTTGGTCGTCGGGTTGGCATTGTTCAAGGACTGGCTGTAATCTATTGTAAAGCAGACGACTGAATAGCTTATATATAATGGGGATCGTACACATCGGGCGGTAAATCTGTGGAAGAGATAAGTCGCCCGATTTGGGAATGACTGTGACCACTGTTTTCCTCCAACTTGCTGGCGTGGGGGCGTTCGGTTTGAGGACGGTGTTGTATAGCTGCAACAAGGCATTGTGAAGTTCCGGGCATGGTTTCCTGAGCATTTCTGCTGTGACCTCTTCGGTGTCCGGTGACTTCCCCAGCTTGAGTTGCGAGATTGCTGTGTCGAGTTCTTGCGCCATAAAGGGTGTAATGTGCTGATGGGTGTCGGTCGTGCCTGGTGCTGCGTCGACGGTGCTGGCAGAATTGTATAGCTCCTCGTAGAGCGTCGCGAATACATCAGCAATGCCATGACGAGTCGTGTGCTTGGTGCCGTCGTTACTAACCATTTCCGTAATGAGCGTTCGTTTTCTTCTCGTCCTGATGGAGCTGATGCGCTTGAGGTCTCTGTGCTGTTCGAGGATGGTGCTGATTTGCTGTCGTCGTTTGGTGCGTTTTTGCTGTCTAATGTGTTTCTGTATTGCTTTGCTGACCGTCCGTCGGTTGCTCGTGTCTGTGTTTGGGATGCATTTGCGCTGCTGCACAAGGTTGGTGATGATATCGTTGGGTCTGGTTGGGTCGTCGCGATTGTTTGTGTTGCTCGTCGTAATGGTTTGCGCGTCTCGGGGAGATGTGGCGTACAGCGTGGCGTCGTTCAAGCTCTTTTCGATTGTTTTGTTGAGGTCGTTGGGGTCAGCTGGTAGTAATTCGGGTTGCAACTCGGAGCCCAGATGACGTCGATACGCGTTGGGGTCTGTGTGTCTTTGTTCCGGCTTGGTGGTATGTCTGGCCGGTTGCTGGTGTCTGCCTGTGTTGGGACCCAACATTTTGAGGCGCATGTGCAGAGACACCGCCTTGTGGTCGGAATTGAGATCGATTGCGTTGCTGGCTTCGGCGTTCCGGCATGAAGGTAGCAAGCACCTGTCCACCAGTATGTAGTCGTATTGCCGAGGTTTGCCGCTTGTCGTTGTGTAGGTGATCAACTTGTCTGGGCGCTTGCGGAAAAACGTGTTCACAATTGCAAGCCTCTCGTTGGTAGCCCAATGTCGCAGCCATCGGCCTCGGGAGTTTTCGTCGCCGAACCCGTGGGGCCCCACGTACTGAGAACAAATGTCGGATCGGGGTTGCGTTACAGCGGCGTCGCCCCTCGAATGTACGTCCGGGGAGCGTGGTGGAGAACCAACTTGGGCGTTGAAGTCGGCACCCATGATTGTGCGCATGCGTCGGGAACGTGCTTCTCTGAGTAGAGCGCTGGCGGTGTCGTACAACTGTTGGATGTGGTGGTCTGTATATCCAGTGTTCGGAAAGTACGCCGATACCAATTGTAGTCGAAGCTTCCCTTTCCTGATGCTGAGCGCCGCGATTCTCGCATTGATAGCCTGAAGCTCCAACACGTGTTTGCTCCAACGCTTGTGCAAAAGGATTGCGACTCCGTGGGAACGGCTCTCGTTGCCAGACCCCGCAAACATGTGTCCATCTGAAGTGATCCAAAGTTCTCGCTCTATCGTCCGCCACGTTTCGTTGATTAGGACGGCATCCCAATGCAACACACGTAAAATCATGCAAAAGTTCATCGATCCGGTCGTTCGTCTCCAGATCTCGCGTTTTTGTGTGGAAGACTGTGAAATCGATGATGCCTGACTCGTCACACTTTGCCTCTTGATGCGTCGGATCGTGTTGGGTCGGGGGGGAAGGAGAGGGGACGGGAGAGGGAGGAAGGAGGGGAGGGAGGGGAGGGAGGGGAGAGGGGGGACTGGTCGACGTTGTTGGTCTGTTGTCGGTGGTGGGTGGTAGTGGGCGTTGTGAGTCTGCTGGGGTCGGTGCTGTTTGTGGTGGTTCTGGCCGGTCGTGGCGCTGGTGGGTGCTGGTGGGCGCTGGTCGGTGGGTGGGTGCTGGTGGTCGCTGCTGGTCGGCTGGAGTCTGTGTTGCTTGCGGTGATGTTGCTGGTCGGTCGTGGTCGTCGGTGGGCGCTGGTGGGTGCTGGTCGGTGGGTGGCGGTGGTCGCTGCTGGTCGGCTGGAGTCGCTGCTGCTTGTGGTGGTGTTGCTGGTTGTCGTTGGTCGGTGGGTGGCGGTGGGCGCTGCTGGTCGGTTGGGGTCGGCGCTGCTTGCTGTGATGCTGGTCGGTGCTGGTCGGTGGGTGGTGGTGGGCGCTGGTCTGCTGGAGTCTGTGTTGGGAGGAGGAGGAGGAGGGAGGAGGAGAGGAGGAGGAGGAGGAGGAGGAGGAGAGGAGGAAGAGGAGGAGGAGGAGGAGGAGGAGGAGGAGAAAGAGAGGAGGGGGAGGAGGAGGAGGAGGAAGAGGAGGAGGAAGAGGAGGAGGAGGAGAAGGAGGAGGAGGAGGAGAGGAGAGGAGGGGGGAACGAGACAATAGGATGTAGAAGATGAAAAGCGCAGAACTTTTCTGATCCGCTAGAAGCGGATGTGGACACCAAGACTGAAAGCGGGCGCGTTGCATGGCCAGGCTGCAAGCGGCAGCGGCAAGCCGAGGCGAGAGGCAGGAAGGATCCCGTTCGAGTCTGGTGCTCAAGCAAGTTCGTCGTGCCTTCGTTTAAATTCTTGCCGCTTCGCGCATCCCCACCAGTGCGTCTGTGCCGGTCCTTGCTTCGTTCTGCTTTTCCCTCTTGCTTCGGCGCGGCCCGCCCTAGCCCCAGCTTTCGACCCGCTTCGCGAGCCCGCGTGCCAACAAACAACATACCCCCATCAGCCCATCCAGAAAGATGCCCAGGCGAGTTGCCTCTGAGAGTCTCATCGGATGTCTCTG